GTACAAAACTTATTAATGAGAAAAAATAATTTTCCAAGGCCCGAGGGAATGGGGGAGTCCCAGTCGCACAATTCATTTCTGAATGCACATTAATTATTGATTATTTTTTTCAGTTAGTATTCCATTTTACTGGATCTCACGCTGAATTTTATTGGTTTAGTCGTTCCTGCGGTTTATAAAAATTTCTATCGAAATATATGAATATTATGTGATTGAAAATCCTCAAACGTGATTGGTCAATAGGCACGTGAAGTCGGTGTTGAAAAAATGCGAGTGATTTTTTTTCAAATTAATTGAATGAATTCTCAATAAATTCCATATTTATATCCGTGAAAAAACGAGTACAATTTAAAAAATTCTCTTCAATTCAATTTGATTGAATCCAATTTTCCGATTTTCATATAAAATTTTGGAAAATCCATTAGGGTATTCACTCCATCCTCTCGGTGCAGATCTTGAAGGAGTGAAGAACGTGAAATTGAGAGTTTAAAATTGCCCAAGGAGAGAGTTGATGAGTTGTTAAACAAGAGTCAGAAATTACTCCAGAATTCAGATCAATGTTGACTGAGAGAATGAGAAAGCCGCAGAAACGTAAACTGAGACGTCTTTGCCATTGTTGTGAGTACAATTACTGATTCACGGAAAATACTATTGCTCGGGGCAATCAAAGCGACAGGAAAGAGAGACGGATAGAATTGGATAATTCAACATTGAAGGTAGGAGGATTTCACATCAAAACAATCTGGAGCTATCGGAATTCTGCGTAAGCTCCAGCCGTATATTGTACCAACACTTTGTACACCAAGTGCTGTTGATTGCTCCCTGAGTTATTCACCGGTAATTTATAATGATCAATTATTTCCCATATTTTGGCGATGCCATTTGCCTCGTCGCGAATTATGATAGCCCAATTAAAGTGATTTGGGGTGGGTACGCTGAATAATTAATTGCATTTTCTATTACTTGCCTCATTCAATAGTAATAACAGCAATTATCGGTGATGTTATTCATTGAGCACGGCGTAATGGGATTGATAAAATAATTGTTTTTTCTCCAATTTGGGTAATGGCTACATGTGATGAATATAAAAAAATATAATTTCTGTTTTAAACACACGATCTTCAAAAGAAAATACATTCCGTTCAGTGAATCCAAAAAATTATTTAAGTTTATTTATGGTATTTTTATAAATTTACTTCTCTAGAAAAGAAAAAAAAATGCTGAAAGTATTTTCAGACTTACTGATTGCAGTGACAACTCCTAAGATCCTAATGAGGATTTCGAGATTGTTCTCGATGGGCCTGACGTAGTTGGGACTCTCGGGAGCATCTCCGGGGCCTCCAAAATCCTTGCCGTAAGTCACCATCATTTTTCTCCCAACAAAAAACCTCAAAATGGAAAAATAAATGAAAAAAAAAATCAATTGTCCATTCTAAAGTGATTGGACTGGATAGCAGATTTTACGGGAAATTAAAATTTTCCGAGGGTTTTAGGGTGTCGGAAGAGACATGTGCTGTCTCGCCACATTCGCGCGGTACTGAGTGTCCGGAGGAAATGTTGTCTTGGGTACAGCATCACCGCCGAAAGCTCCCGATTCTGCGCTCATCTCTAACCAGATACAAAACGTACATTGCAACAACCCTAAATGTCAGCCACCGCGTGCTCGTAGTTGCTCTTTTGCTTTGTAACAAGCTCATCCTTTGGTACAGACTTCCTCGTCCTAGTCATCCTATGTAGCCACACCAGATGTTTGAATTTTCCTGATTAATTATCCATAACTGAGTAACACTATTTGCATGGTAATTTTGGGGATACAAGGCGAATTTTAGAGCAGGGGATTTTTAGCATTCGGGGCAAGTCTCAAAGTTATTTCCCAACTCCGGGTGTGAAAGAAGCGGGGGAAATAATTTTTCCGTTCTAGTGGAAGAGCGAATTCAGACTATTGGAGTTTTCCAATTTTACAACAACTAGTCATTCAGGATTTAAACTTCAATATAACATAGGAAATATTTTACAACATTTGAATAATCGGTAAAAAATTGGAATGTGTTCCGATAAAAAATAAAAATCAATGGAATATAGCGGAGGATTTTTTTCAATTCTAATTGCAATTGATTAATTTTCATGTAAGCAGAGGTGAAATTAAAGTCATTCTCAGATATTTTCAGGTAACGTTTATTGAAAAATACATTCAGCCCCAGTGAATCTGTCCCCAACCCCTAAAAGCTCAACAATTACAAAAGTGAGGTAGATCGATGATCAATTAATATCGAACTCATGTGCCGTGGAGGAGTCCCCCCAGTGGTTACTCTAAAAAAAGTGCAATCACTCTCTCAAATTCCTCAACAACGTTATAAAATTCCTCCAATCACAAAACTTTGTTCATCAGTCTATGTCGCTCTGGATCGATCACTCGTTCGCCAACTTTTTTCTCCTCCGCTGTGTTCTGGGATAATCCCATCCGTTTTTGATGAAATTGGGCTTCGCAGATTGGGTGATCTGCCTACCCTGGATCTCTAGCATCTCACTGGTGAAATTATCAGCGGATGCGGCCTTAAGGGCACGGGGAATTGGACTGAGTGAATTTTTCGGACGCTGAGGTGGTACCACTCCTGATGGTGCCACTGATCTACTGGTGTAATCATCAAATTCAAATTAATTACGATGAGTACAAGTGCCTGAAGGGCTTTCGAATTTTTTTTTTAATAATAATTGGAGATTATTGTGTTCTGTCAAAGAAAGATTCTTGAGAATAATTAAATTTGTAAGTGAAATGAATCGAAAAATTGTAGTAGGATTTTTACCTATTTTTATTACTGCTGGGCAATCTGGAAGGATCGATGGGTGCAAGACGAATATTTTTTGGACAGGCTGAACGAGACACTGGTGTTTGCCAGGCTGACGAGTGCCTCTGGGGAAGTTTACTCAGGGTCGAATGCTTTGCCGAAGTGATTTTAGACGCTGAGCTCATGTTTCTGTAGAAACCTATCGACCAACGAATCAGTTTCAAAAATTAATTCATCAATGTCGTGGCATTGTGACACCTATCACGAGATGTTGACGAAAAAATTTTCAGGTCACAATAAAATTCGTGGAGGTATATGTCCAAGAAGAGAATTGACATTTTAAAAAAATTAGAGAAATTGTGGAACAAATGAGATGGACTTTTGATATTAAAACGATATCACAGAAGGGGAGTTTCATTTCTTCTTGCACGCGAACAAGAAATATAATAGAAAATGGTGTAAATTATCGACAATTGTACAGATTGTGGTAGTAATGAGAAAAGTAATAAATTTCACGAATTGATGAAAATAAAATGCGGCTTCAGCAATCAATTCATCAATGTCAGACTTTCGATTGATATCTCGAGATATAAGCAGATAACTAAATTCAGTCGGTAGTAACTTTGAATTATAAAAATTGTAAGAGTCATGGAAAAAGATCATTTACAATTTACAAGGATCTTATTTTTTTACATCACTGAGATTGAATTCCAATTCTTGTAATTATCGATCCTCCATGAACCTAGGCATACGCTACGTATATTTCTATAAAAAAAAACATTGATTTCTCCATAGAAAACGATTGAAACTAATAGAGCTAGTGTTCAATTGAATTTTTTATCAAATGCCTCAGACTATCCAGAATTTTTCTACTCCTGTGCAATGAGAACAAATAGCTGTTTTCCAATGAAATAAATGAGTGCCCGAAAAAGGAGTTGGAGGGGAGAATTTAGATGGGGATTTAATGAAGTGTATTTACGCAGGATAAATAATTGATGTGCTCACCATGAGGTGTAAGCTCTAGAAGATGTCCAGCATATTTAATCGGTGTTGTTCTCAATGTGCAAAAACTCTCGCGCGTTGTAACGGCAAATGGCACAGGACTGACAACAATTTTCTTATTAAAAACAGTGCCAAGTTTATTTCTACCAAGCTGGCTCGTATCAACACTCGAGGCATCATCCTCGTCCTCATTATTATCGTCAATTGCGTTTTTGGCATTTTCAGTAATTTTTTTGAAAGCTTTGCTATCGGGAATCAGTTCAGTCAATTCGAACGATTTTATTCTATTGGCACTACGATTTCTACTTGAATTACTTAGGTTTCGCGATTTCAATGTCTTTCTACCACTGTACGTTGGCGCCGGTGTTATTCGGAGTACGTCGTCTAGGTCTTTTGATGCGTCTGACGGTAAATCGGCTTTTTCTACTTCATCCATTATGTAATCTACCAGCAGATCTATGATTTTTTCTTTGAGATCTTTATTCCCCTTTGATGAGGTCGGTTTCTGAAAGGGAGAGATTCTTTTGTTAGTGAAAATACGGGAGTATTTTATGGATATTGAGAGATTCTATGGGTTCAATTTATGGCAGCGGTTGACATGAAATTTTATTCATTTTCTCAGCTCAATTTCTCAGAATCTCTCTTCTTCTTTTATTTCTATTCTAATAAAATTACAAATCCCAAATTCTACCAATGGCCATCTTCATTAATCATAAAATCTTTATATAATTTTATTTCTATAGAAAAATATCGTAACAATCCCACATTCCCGTGCCAGATTTCTTCTCGCTTTCGAAAAAATTCATAAAAAATCATTTCCTATTGTGGATTATGTTAATTGCCGTGTAATTTCCACCGAATATTTTTTTGTGGGTAAATCTCACCTTTTTCTCGTTAGCCATGGTCTCCTCATCTCTGCCCCGCAGTCTTCTTGGCAATTCCGTCACACAAATCTCTCCATCTTCATCAACAACTGGAATATTCATCTTTTTCCCAATGACTCTCAAATGTGGCACCTGTGTCCTCCATTGAATACACTCCTCCGTGACGGTCCCCTGGGTCGAATTCACATCTTCATCATCCTCTTTATAAAGAGTTCTTTCAACAGCACTCCACAGATCCAGTACTTTCCTCGTGGCAACTTCCTCAATGTCTTCAGGCCACGAGGAAGATGTCCCACTGTTGTCATCTCGACTTGTGTCAATACCACTCGGCCAAGGATTTTTTCTCGCTGTTGATATTGGAGGAACGAAACTCGACGAATTTTTCTCACGAGCGACTGTCATGCTTTCTCGTTTTCTCACGTTTTCGGAGCTTGCGTTAATAATTTTTACTCATTATTATCAAGTAACGATTATTATCAGTGACGACAGCTCTTATGTCAAAGGGCACGTGTTTAATAATAAATAAATAATTCCGTAGCAAAATGGAAAAATTGAAGACTTCATTAATTATTCCGAATGCTAAGTTCTTGAGTTCCTTGAATTAATCGTGCTTGTTGGATTTAGAAAATATTTTTCCTCACGAAAAATGTAAATTTCTCTATAATGATCATGAAAAAAAATTATTGGATAAAACATAAATAATGAGTCTTCTCTTTTCCGAAATTGATAGTCATTAAATACACATCATGCAACACAAAATATCAATAGAAAATTATTTTACTGCTCCGTAATTTCACGACGTCACTGAACAGTTATGCAAATGGAATTGATTCTTCAATGGATTCTCAATTATCACAGGTGAATTGACGTAATTTTACAACACCATTTCCTAAAATACGAGAGACTCCAATTCTCCTGAATAATTGAGCATGAATATTCACTAGAAATCTAAAAATACCGAAATGCATTTCGAAACGCTTGCAGTAAAAATTTCCATCGAAAATTTCACAACTACCAACAATTCACAAAATAATAAAACATCACCTCAGATGAATACCTTTTAGTTGTCCTCTTGGACATTTCATTTTCTGGAATAAATATTAATAAAACCATTAGATAATCGATGTAAAACCTTTAATCCATAATTATTGAATTAAACCAGACATCACGAGCCAAAAAAATCTAAAAATATAAACCCCATGTAAGAAAACCTAAAATACCACTCTCCACAAAAAAAACCGCTGAAAAAAAAATTTTATTCTCACCCCTTTGACTGATTAATCCATTCAAACAGCTCCACCGACAATTTCCACATCGAAAACCTTAGCCACATGCCCTCAGAGACCCAAATAAACATTCCAATCCCCAGCTTTTGCATAAATTGACAGTGAAAACTAATAAATCCTCCATAAGCAACAGTTGCAGCTGAATTTCCAACGTATTTCACTCACCCGGACGCTCCTATTGATTATTCCACCTGTCCCCCTTACTCCTGAGTTCATCGACTCTCATTTTCCCGCTGCAGGTTCCCGATGTTCGGTGAAGCGACAAAAAGATATTTTACAAAATATTAATAAATTCGGAGTGGAACTTCAATGTTTTTCACCCTCTGGTGCCACCGCCTGCGCTTTATCGTCTGCAATTGGTTCGTGTCTTGCCACTGGTATAAACCCCCGGATTTGAGCGTGCGCGCTTTTTCATCGTGTCTTTACCTCACTTACCTGGATTTATATCGCAATATTCAAGGGCATCACCTCAATTTATCTCGTTATAATTATTGCAGTCGACTTTGTGTCAGTTCCGGTGGATTGCATGAGTGCATTGATACTGCATGCTGACCTTTGATTTCAAATCTTTGGTATTGTACCCGGGTATAATTGTCCAAGCGGTCAATAAGGTGAATGTCCCAGTGTCCGCTTATATTAACATTTAACGTATTTCCTGGATCTGATATTATTATTATTGTATCAGATGTTATTACCTTTTTTTACTGACGAAGTGGTTTGCCGTGCACAAAGTAAATTCAATTTTTACGTTCAGTTATTTATGATGGATTTAATCATTATTTGATAATTTAATCATTTATATTGACATGGCGAATTTCAATTTCACGTTGCGCAATTTTCAAAATTAATGTTTTTTTTTTATGAATCCAATCTCTGGGATCTCTGGTGTGTGTTCACTGAACTAGCAACGCGCACATCAAAACAGCTAATTATTTTGGTCGCCTGTCATTTTAGTGATTATTTGATAAGTTTTTACGATCTTAATTGCATTGTCGATATTGAGTTCGTCGAGTGGTTGAGGATTCAGGAAGTTCTAAGGGGTAATTTGACGTTTATTGGTGGTTGGAAATTATGGCCGCTGAGGAAAATTTTGAACAGGTGAGATTGTCTTTCTAACCTCAATAATTTCGCTGGCAACCTATTATTTTCATTTTTTAAGTCCACGGTTTTGATTATTGATAATTTGTTGATTAAATTTTGTGGATAGAGGATCAATAAAATGGGGGAATTTTCTTTTTTTTCCTAAAGGACTGGAAAATTTTTTATAAGTTAGGTTAAGTAAGTGGTTTTGGGGTTTTAGTTTGAGGATGAAGAGACAGAATTACCGATTGGAGGAACTCTACCCAGTGGCAGAAAGCGTCTGTTCTCGAAAGAGCTTCGATGTATGATGTATGGATTTGGGGACGATCAGAATCCGTACACTGAGAGTGTCGACCTCCTGGAGGATCTCGTCATCGAGTACATCACTGAGATGACCCACAGAGCTATGGAGATCGGCAGAACTGGACGAGTCCAAGTCGAGGACATAGTTTTCCTCGGTAATCCACGATTTAATTCCGTAAAGAATCATTTTTTAATAGATTAATATTGAGAATTGATTTTTACAGTCAGAAAAGACTCCAGGAAGTACGCGAGGGTTAAGGACTTGTTAACCATGAATGAAGAATTGAAGAAAGCGAGAAAAGCGTTTGATGAAGTTAAATATGCAGGTAACAGTCTCGAATTTGATCTGAAACTTGTTCTTGTCATGTCTGCGTCTGGTGCATCAGTAGAGAGCATGAACTATTTTTTTCTCGAGTATTTTTCGCTAATTTTCTGTGAATTTATTTCGGCGCCACGAAGGATATCCACGTACTTCGACAACCACGAACTTGACAAATTTATGGAGAAGTATGTGAATATTCCGAATAAACACATCAGTTGTAAAATGGCAGCTTGAACTTTCGTTGCAGTTCTATCGATGTTGTAAAATGATAACTACTTCTTGTGTTGCCAAGAAAGTACAGATAATCATTTTAACTATTGAATGAGTGAAAAGTGAAAACGATAAGCTCATGTTTTCCTCTTATTCTCACTATTTTATTGGTTCACTTATTTGTTTATTTTTTGGCATGTTTATCTACAGACTCGCATGGCTCCAGGGCATGATGTTAATGCAACAAATTATGAAAAATTTCATTAGTAAATCTATTATGTTTATTCGATGAGCATACAAATTGACAAAATTATCACGAAATATCATGCACGGCCTGTTTCGCTGACAGAATAACATCGTTAAGGCCAACACCTTGATAAGAGGAGCCACAGAGTGTCAGAGGCATTTTATGAGCACTGATATAATTACGTATTCTCTTGACTCTCTCCTCGTGGCCGACGATATACTGAGGAATGCAATTCTTGAGAATTTGGAAGTGAGTGTCCGAGGGATCGACCCTTATCCCGAGAATCTTCCTCAATTGCTCTAATGCAAGAGACTCCATGTGCTCTCGCGATGAATTCACACCGAAATATTCGTCGAACCATGCACCACCCATCATTACTGTCAGTACCTGTAAGATATTTACGATTTACAGTATTTTCATTCAAAAAAAAAAAAAACAATTGTGTACGATAAATTGTAATAATTACAACGAAAAAAAAAATAGTGTGGATAACTGAAATGTAAATTATTTGGAATTATCCTGAAATAAATGAACAATTTGTAATATTAAAATAACAATGGACTGACCGTTGAAGATCGGTGAGGGAAAGTGCAGGAGTCAAATATCACTCCTAAAATGGGAATCTTCTCCTTGGGAGGCACCAGGAAGCCGAAGGCCTCCATCGGCAGAATTTTCCCTGGAAACTCAAAATTTATTACAGCCACAGTGACCGTAGGGATCGCCTCCAATTCCCTCGCCAGCTGGGGATGCTGTTCCTGGAGTAGTTTCCCCAATTCTCCAGCTGCCAGACTAGAAATCACTCTCTCAAACCTTTGAATTTCTCCGCTGACATCGACCTCCACGAAATCAGGTTTGAACGTGATACTCCTGACCTGCGTTTTCAGCCGAATTTGTACATCTCCCTCTGCTAATTTTTTTTCCAGAGCCTCAGGGAGCTGTTGAATTCCTCCCTGGAGACCCCAGATTGCCCACCTCTCTCTCCGAGCTTGTGCTGCAGAACCCACAAGCATTTCCGCCTTTTCCTCTGGAGCTTTCTTACGTTTTGAATTCAAAATCTCCTGCCACCTGT